TATTCTAAATCTAATAAGATCTTTACAATCAGGCTCTGTTATCCCAAATCTGACAAGATTTTTATAAGTCTTAGATTAAAGGGAGCTTGATAAAGGGAAGTAATTCTAAACCTATATTTGTCATCACATATTGATTATTTATGTACAAAATTGTTTCATCAAAATACATTGTTTTGTCATTATCAAAAAGGGGGAGGTTGTTAGAATAAGATTTGGTTCTGCTGGTTATCTCTAAGTTTTGATAATAAAAATGTAGTATTTGTGTGAAAACAATTTTTGTACTCTAATGGTTTGTTATTCTGAAGTTTTAACAAATAGGTTATGACTCTGATAGAGACCACATGCAACACCATTCTGGTATGACAAAAGTCGCTTTTGCGCCAAAGAAGCAAGTTTGTTTCTGTACCTACTCACATTCAGAAAGATTCTAAGAAGACAATATGTTGCTTCTGCAATGCTCTCTTGGATTTTGCTTCTGAGCGTGACTCTGATGATTTATGTCTGAAGGCTTTCTAGCTTCTGAAGTTTTGAAGACAAGATTTTGCTGAACAATGTTCTGAAGACTCTGAAGACTTAAGTTTCTGAAGACTAAGTGTTGAAGACTCTAAAGACAAGGTTTTGCTGAACAAAGTTCTGAAGATTCTGAAGACTTAAGTTTCTGAAGACTAAGTGCTGAAGACTCTGAAGACAAGATTCTGCTGAACAAAGTTTTGAAGACTAAGTGCTAAAAAATCTGAAGACAAGTTTCTGGTGAACAAGTTCTGAAGACTCTGAAGACCCAGTGATCAATTCTTCTACTCATGCTTCAAACATCTCTATCCAGAAGCCTCTGATGCACATAAGATAAGATCAAAAGTTTACGTGCAAAATAGTACATAGTACATATCAAAACGTTCCATTCCACTACCTTGATTTTATGGTACAAAGGACAACTTTTGTGTACGATTTTCATCCCTACGTAACGAAATTCTTTCATGTCACCAGATCACTCAAGGACTATCCTGATCTGCTTTCCAACAAATATTTTGTTGGCTATATAAGGACTTAATTACTTGAAGAAAAAAAGTAAGCAAGAGTGAAGCACTACAACACAACACAAGAAAAATCCATATTGTGTGCAAATTTTCTTTAAGTATTTTAAAGATATTCATAGTGTTTATATTTTCTTGAATATAAGCATTTCATTGTAAACATTTATTTTTCACAAACTGTTGTTTGTAATTCCTTAAGGGACCAATTAGGTCAGAATCTTAAGAAGACTTAGACAGTTAGTCTTTGTCGTTGTTAGTCACCAGCATTTGCTAGTGCAGATTGTAATCAATTGATTATATTGGATTAAACTCTTGGGTATAAGGAAAAATCACCTTGACGGGTGAACTGGATTAGCTTGATAGTTTTCAAGTGAACCAAGATATATCGTGTGTCTTTCTCTCTTGTTTTAGTGTCTTTGTGATTTTTTGTTTTAGTTTCATAAAAAGCTTTCATTTTCAAAAACCCAATTCAAACCCCTCATTTCTTATATTTTTTTTACACCTTCAAAAGTATTATCACCCCCCCCCCCCCCCCCCCTTGTTTGTTTTTGGTGTTGACTTTACGCCTATAGTGCAAATCAGGTAGAGACTGAGGAGCCTTAGATGTTGCATGTGTGGAAGATGACTAGTGGTCTTCTTCGCTTATTGTTTTCTGTGTCGTTTTATTACCATGTGTCCCTCTGATAGTGTAACACTTGGGTTGTGATAATTTACTTGTTTTATTCTATGAGTTATTATGTCACCTAAATTAATATTTAATTGAGTAAAAATGATTTCTATTTTGATATGACAATGAAGTTGTGTTTTTTTTATTGTTTAATTTCCGCTGCTATTAAGTGTAATTTTGAGGAAAATGTTTAATTGAAAAAAAATGTGACACCCTTTTTAAAAAAAATACTCTAATTACTTTATAAAGTGCATGATGAAGTTTAGGGTGTTACATTTATCACTCAAATATCCAAATCGGTGAGGTGAGAGAGATAAAACTTTGTTAGAGTGAATAAAAAGTACACGTTATAATGCGTATATGGGTTTATATAAGAGGAAAAGTTAAAACCGCTTCTGCTTAACACGACTGATGGTGTATGACTTTCTGACGAGGGTCCACCTGTCCATCGTTCTTTTGCAGAAATATTCTAGAGCAGACCTTTGATGTTGGACTAATCTTGTTGGGCCGTTTGATCGATCACACCAATATCTTTAATAAATAGTAGTAATTTTGTAAAATAACTTATAGTTTCTCTATTTTATATACAATTAAATATAATTTTTAATTTGTGCGAAAATTTAAAAGTAACATATAATTTAATTTAAAACATATGAAGTAATTGTAATATTTTTTTATGTTAAAATCCGATATTAATGATCTCAATTTATAATAATTTGAATACTTTTTTTTGGGTACAAAGTTGGAATTTAATTTTACTTTGATTCAGTATTATTAAAATAAATTTATTAACATAATTTGAATATAAAATATTACTTTATTATTTAAAGGTTTTCTTTTCATATCTCGTTTCTCTACTATTCAATTTATTTTCTTCTTCAGAATTAATATAATTTGACCATATCATTTTTTCTCTTAAAATATGTCTATATTATCACTATTTCTTTTTAACAAAATATATCTATATATTGACATATTTTCTCAAAAGAAAATTCTTTATGTAATATATATCCTCCCTTTTTTCACATCCCTCTAGCATATACATAAACTCAAGATCTATTTGCAAATACATTTTCATGTCACAATCTCTATTACACAACACAAATGGATAGAATGAGTCATTCCAACAATCATATGAGCATGTTTCATGTGACATGCAAAACAAATGTTCCTGTCTTGTCCAATGTCACAAAGAAGATTATGAATAAAATGTATCAGAAAGTTTTCAAAACAAAAAAACAAAATGAGTTACAACCAAATAACTCATTCAAGTCCTTACACAAAACCATGATCAAGGAAATCAAATACAAATGCTTCAAGATAAAGAAGCCAGATGATGATAGGTGTTTGTGGAAGAAGAACATATTGATGGGTGAGAAATGTCAGCCAATGCAATTTCCAGATGCAATTTTTTATGATGATAAGGGGAATCGACTTTGTGAGCCACCACGTTCAAAAGCATAGTTCTCTAAATTGTTTTGTGGTTTATGTGCTCAAATGAAATTGTAATGCATTGATTATAGAACTTCGTGAATAAAATTATACTACTTATCGTTTTTAATTGTTGTTTTTGTTACATGTTTTTATTCATTTTAAAATAGTATTAACTATTGTTTTATCAAAATTATCTACTATTATTTGTTGGGGATAGAGAAATATATGAAATACGATAATAAATAATAAGACTATTATATGAAGGAAAAAATAACAAATAATTTTATCATAGAAATCTATTAATTTTATTACTATGTATAAATAATTTTTTTTGTTTTGGTTTTAATATGTATAGATAATTTTAATTTCGCTTTCTTCCTCTTCGGAATAACACTTCAAACTTTGCTGCCATTCTTATTCTTGAATTAGATTGGACCGTTGTTCAATTTGAGAGGGTTTTCTTTCTATCATTCTCAAATTTTACTTGACACCTTTGCAGTAGTATTTTCTAAGGATGACAAAATAGATGGATTGAATTGTTAATGGATGGATTAAAATAATTCAATAGTCCATTAACAATGTACTAAATTTTTCTTAAAATTATCCAATTCAATCCATCCATTAATAATAAAATCCATATAATCCATCCATTAACATATTTTTAATGGATAGATATCCATTCATTCAACTTTTTTTTTATTTCGTAAAAATAAATATATTTTTTTAGTTTTAAAAAATTGATTTTATTTTATTTTTGAAAAAATTATTTTTTGTATTTTAAAAAAAATTATTTTTTAATATATTTATTAAAAAAACTGAATTTTTGTATTTTCAAAAAAAAATTAATATTTTAATTTTTTAAAAATATCAATTTTTTTCCATAAAAAAAAGTCAATTTTTTTCGAGAAAAAATTTTATTTTATTTTCGAAAAACAAATCAGTTTTTTATTCTGAAAAAAAAATTATTTTTTTTTTTTAAAAAAAAAGTCGATGTTTTTTTCGAAAAAAAAAACCGATTTTTTTTTGGAAAAAATAATTGACTTTTTTTCCAAAAAAAATTGAGTTTTTTCAGAAAAAAAAGTTGATTTTTTTTCTAAAAAAAAGTCGGTTTTTTTTCGATAAACAAATCAGTTTTTTATTCTGAAAAAATAACTGATTTTTTGTTTCAAAAAAAAATTAAACTTTTTTTTTCAAAAAAAAATATAATTTTTTAATTATTTTTTAATTATTTTTTAGAAAATGTATTTTAAAAAAAAATAAATCTAACGAAAATAAAAATAATTCATTGCATCTTTAAAATATGTTACATGAATTGAATTCATCCATGAATATATATAAATAGATAGATTTAATCAAATTCTTTAACTTATTTTGTCTTAATAGATTCAATTGCCATATCAAATTTTATTACACATTTATAGTTATAGATTTATACTTATAAACTTTTCTTATTTGTTCTCAATTAATAAAGTTATGATTTAATAATTAGAAAAACGAAAAATATATTTTGACATTTCTTCTTGCATACACCGTATCCTACATGGCTCCAACAACACAAAAAACAAAGTTAAATAAATTATTAAAAAGATAAAAATAGTAGATTTTAACTATACTAACATTCAATAAAGAAATATGAGAATTTTGCATTTACTTTTTAAATAAGGTTACAATATAACCTTGAAAAACTCTTATTTTTCAACCAGAAAACAGAGCACTCCTTTGCGACAAGATATCGTAATTAGACATGTTACATGTTATGAAGTGCCTACAAGCACACAAAATCCTCATTACAGAGACAAGAACCTGGATATCCATTTCCCTCATCTCCTAAAATGTGATAAATGAGAGCCTTCCAAGGCATTAATATACTATAATTTTGATGTCTTTTGTCGATCTAAACTTACGAGATCCTTTCTTAAAATCTTTCCTGTGATTGACTTTGGAATTTTGTCTATAAAAGTTACTCTCCGCAACCTTTTGTATGGTGCAACCTGGACAAAGAAAACAAACCAATCAACAACGGGTAAGAAAACAAGCAACCCTCAAACTCTTGCACTTGCCACCTTCACAAGTATTGGTTATTGTTAAAAAGAATACTTCCTGATATACAAATTATTTTTCTTAAAAGTGATTTTCTGAATATCCCTAGCTTACCTGTTTTGCTACAAATTTCTTAATGTCTTCCTCAGTTATTGAGCTATTGCGAGATCGGACAACAAAGGCCACAGGAACCTCACCAGCATTGGCATCGCGGGATCTGATATGGAATCGACACAATGAATCACTAAAATGTTTTAAATAGTTATACAATATAAATAAATAATTAGTTCAGATTCTGCATGAAGATATATATGACTAACGGGATCACTCCAGCATCAGAAATTTCAGGATGAGTAACTAGCAAGTCTTCAAGTTGAGCTGGTGCCACCTAATAACAAAAATGTGTATAGGATGTGCTTGTTTAGTACGCTAATTTTGCTGATATCAGGCAAATTGTATGGTGGAAAAATAGTTGTGTCAATTTTTATAATTCAAATCCTTAAACTGATAAAGCCAAATCATACTTGATATCCATTACACTTGATAAGCTCTTTTATTCTATCTACAACAAATAACTGTCCCTTTTCATCAAAATATCCAAGATCTCCTGTAATCATCCATCCCTCATCATTAATCGTGTGCTTTGTTGCTTCTGGGTTGTTGAAATATCCTGAAAAAATATGCAATATAGATTCTAATCAGAGTCATATTAATTTTAATATAAAGTAGACAAGTATTAAAGATCTTACCTTTCATCATAGTAGGTCCTCGTAACCAAATCTCTCCTACTTGATTCGGTGGTAGGGTCTTCGATGTTTCTAAACTAACAATTTGGGATTCTACACTTGAAAGCAGTGCTCCACTTGAACCTAAACCACAAATGAACCATTCTTCCCTTGAATTTTCTACGGAAACAAGTCCACATGCTTCTGTCAAGCCATACCCCTGCCACAAAAATTCAATAAAATATTCAAATTATCTGAAGGGGTTCTTATTCTATTGAAAAAACACAAATATTTTAAAATTTTAAATTATCCTTAGCTATACCTGAACAATTTTAGTTTGAGGTAGAATTTTAGCACACTCCTTCATCACATCTTTTCCCAAAGGAGCGGCACCACAGGCGAGCCTTTTCAGGGGCGACAAGTCATAACGGCTCACAACTTGACGCCGCTTAACGAGCTCCACCATCACCGGTGGAGCAATAGACAAATGCGTCACCCTAAACTTCTCCACAGTTGCCAAAGCTTTCTCCAGTTCAAATCTAACCATTGAGACCACCGTATTCCCTCTCCGCAGATATGTGTACGTTATCACGGCCAATCCCATCACGTGATGCATGGGCACCAAACATAAAGCCACATTCTTCCCCTCGCCGTAATAATCCTGATCCGCTGCTCCCGCCAATGCCGTAGCTATGAAGTTTCGATGAGTCAGCATCACTCCCTTACTTCTTCCGGTGGTTCCCGAAGAATACAGAATCACCGCCACGTCGGATTGCGAAACCACACCGTTTGCATGAATCTCGTTGGAGCTCTTGTTTGACTCTCCGGTAAGATCATTGTAGTCCCAAACCAAAGAACTGGATATATTCGATGATAATACTCTGGTTGAAGCATCGTCAAGCAATATTGAAGGTAAATTCAAATGCAATTGTTCGATTTTGTGTAGAAGCTCCGATACAGTAACGACGAGTTTGGGATTGGAGTCTTGGATTTGGTTGGAGAGTTCGGAAACGGTGTATAAAGGGCTACAGGTGGTGGCAATAGCACCTATGGAAACTATAGCTAGGAAGCAGACAGGGAAGCGTATGGAGTTAGGTGCGAATAGCAAAACAACGTCGCCTCGTTGGATGTCGAGGCGGAGTAAGGAGTGGGAGAGGGCGGTGACTTGGGTTTCAAGTTGACGGAAGGTTAGTGAGTCGCCGGTTTGAGCATCCGCGAGGGCGATGGAGTCGGCGACGGAGGAAGTGGATTGAAAGAGGAAAGAGGTTAAGGAGAGATCGGGATCGGTGGGAAGGTGGATGGGTTGTCTTGGTGAGGAATACGTCATCGTTTCGAGGTCGAAGCAGTTTTTCGCCATTATTATTGTGTTAGGTAGAGGGTTGAACTTCGATATTTTTTTTCTTTTTCTTTCGTTTTTGTGTGATTAGTTTGAAATTGTTTGCTTAATAGAAGAGAAGTGTTGAATTTCACATTTGTTGCTGTCACGATCTTCGATTCAATCGTGCAAGATGATTGGCTCGTTGTGATCAACAGTAAATGCCTATTTCCACTTCACTATCGAATCAACGCCGAAACTAAAATAACATCCATCCATGACTTGAGAAAACAAATTAGTATTGTGATACCTTCTTTCCTATTTTAACACATGTCCCATTTTTTTTAAGTACTAAAAAAGTTTCAACTTTTTTTAAAAAGTGATTATTACTTTTAAAGGTTGAACGAGATGTTTCACTTAATTGACTTGGATTTTGGACAAAATTAAGTAATTGGGACATGTGTTAAAATAGGAAAGAAGGTTGAACAAGAAGGTTAAAATCAATTAATTGGGACATGTCTTTTTTTAATTGATTTTGGACTAACTTATGTTCATTCCTATTATATCCTGCCTCATACAGTTATATGCCATAAGTTAATAAATACTATATTTAATATTTTTTATAATAAAAAACACCCTTTAAAGTTGATAACTCCACTCAAAAAACCACGGCAAGTTATTAAATGGTGGTTTTTTTCATCACTTTAATAATAAACTAATTTTTAATGCCCATCAATTATCTTTCAAATGTTAAAAATAGAAAATCTTCTATAGTTACAAGATGAAAAGATTGAGTATTGGTTATCATCCTTATTTTTAAGATTTATTCAGTGTTTAAGTTCTTTAATTTAATTTTAGATTTTAATTTAGTTTCTTATTTAATGTTATAATTTAGTCTCTTAACAATGGTTTTATTTGCCAACTTAATACTTTCAGTTAAATTTGCAGAAAAAACGCTAACTTAGAGCAACTTTAACGCAGAGTTGTTAAACCAAAATTCTTTATAGTTTACATTAGTAATAAGGAATTTGCATTATAGGAGAGCTGACATGACATCCAACTGAACTAAAATTTAGTTCCTATTATCTATATAGTTAACGTTAACTATGTGAAACCTATTATAATATTATTTAATATTAATAAAATATTTCAAATATTCCAACAACATTAAAGTAATGATATGATATTTGAAAATAGTAACGGTCGTATTATATTTTTTACCTTCTATAAATTCTATAGAAATTTTAATTTTTTTTACACACAGTTTTACTACTAAATTTTTTTCTTTCAATTTCCAATCTTATTTATTTATCAAATGGATCCAACCAATCGAATCCTTATTATAATTATATTCCTATAAAAATGTAATTTTTTTTATGTATTATTGTTGTGAATTTTGTATCATTTTTAATTTTATAATAAAATATATTTAATATTATTTTTAAGTTTTTAAGGTAAATTTTATTTAAAAAATTATATGTATTTTAATTAAAATAATTAAATTAATGGTAACTTGAATAAAAAATATAAAATGTGGGGTCAAGTTTTGGTTTCTTATAGACAATCATCATTAAAGTAAAAACTACTCAAATCAACTATAAATTTTTTAAATCCTACAAATCACTTTGGGCCCACAAAAAGTATCTTAGTTTACCCATTTAGTTTACTCCCACTAAAGATGCTCTTAGGTGATGTGGTATGACAACAAGGATGTACTTTCAGTAGTGACTTAACAAGGAGATTATATTAACGTTGCAAGACATTGTTTCCTCATTGTAACGTTCTTCTTCAAAATTTCTTCATTCAAAACGCGTTTTAGGGCTACTATTCATCTATTTCTTTCAACGTTCTTCTTCAAAATTTCTTTAAGAACCCTCCTCTTCCAAACCATCATCTTCATCATTTATGTTAAGACGTCAATGAATTCCAACAACTACTCAAAATCAAACAACCAAAATTGTAGGTCATTTGGATATGTGGTCATAAGAAACAAGATGAGGGATTGTTGGTGTCAAGAAGAGTGTATTATTCGTACTGTTATAGATTTGAGCAATGCTAATGTTAGGAAAAAGTTTTGGGGTTGTAGGAATTACAAAAATTAAATGAAGAAGGGATGTAATTTTTTCAAGTGGGTAGGAGAAGAAATTGTTGATGGAAGGGATTTGAAGATTAAAAGGCAAAGGAAGAGAATATTCAAGTTGAAGAATGAGATTTTGAGCACAAGAGAAACCTTGAAAATTGTAATAGTGTTTGACATTATTAGTTTAGGCTTTAATTTAGTGTTTTTAACCGTGTATTTCAAATAGGATTGTGCTTAAAGCAATATGTAATTTGATGTTATGTGCCTATGTAATCTCAGTTTTTGGTTAAATGAAAAGTAGTCTGTAATGTTGCAGTATGATATAAAGTGGTATGTAATGTTGTAATTTAATCATATATGCTATAACAAAGGTGTTGCAGTATGATTTAAAGTGGTATGTAATATTGCAAATGTGCGACTAAAATGTGATGGGTAATATTAAAAGTGAACTTAACAGAAACAATGCAATACATAAGGGACCGTATTGAAATCTTTATGATTAGATTTTTTGCTTTAATCAAACTGCAAATACATCAAGCATGTTGCATGTTATTTATCACAATCATCATGGTGTTCATTTTAAAGCAAACACAATGAAAAGACAATTGATACAAAAGACTTCATTAAAAAGGCTAAGTTACACAGGTGATAAAATACTGATACAAAAGACTTCATTAAAAGGCAGCATGATAATCAACCCTACATATGTGTTCATGGACACTGATATAAAAGACCAAATAATGTGTTCATTGACACTAGTACAAAACTGATAAAATAGTGTTCATAAACACTAATACAAAAACGAATGCCTATAAATAGTGTTCATATCTAATACAAAAATCCAAATGGATCATAATTCAGGTTGGGTGGTCTGAGTTGATGCAAAATGGCTTCCTTTAGGTTGGGTGGTCTGAGCTGGTGCAGACTGAATTCCTTCAGGCTGGGTGGCCTGAGTTGGTGCAGTCTAGCTTGCACTATGCTGAGTTGACTGAGTTGGTGCAGGAAGCTTACGAGTAGCTTTGTTGTGCTCCATCATGTGGCATCTACTGTATTTGATTCCAAAGTTAGCTCTGTTTAGTTGTGCCTCATCCCTTATATTCTTTGATGCGTCCCTAATCCTCTTCTTCTTTGGCCTTCCTGATTGTCTTTTGATTGGTGGTGGCCATAAATTAACATACTCAGTTTTCTCCCACAATGTCTCCCCACTCACTGGATATATTACAGGTGCATAACATGCCTCATCACATGCTATTTTGTAGAAGTTAGGCATAAATGTGTCAATTTCCAATTGCTGAGATTTCATGCAAGATATTTCATGACAACATGACAACCCTGCCAGCATCTATCTCCTACAAGAGCACTCCTTAGTGGACAGACTCGCAACATATTTTTCACCATTATATGAGATATGCCTAATCTCATAATCAAATTCACTTACACACTTATGTAAAACACAATAACAGTTCAGCAAATGTAGAAGCAAGTCAGCATTCAACATCTAAATGAAGAAGCAAATCAGTATTCAATACCTTGCAACCTAATTATTTGTTTTTTTATTCCTTTGTTATCCTTTTCTTGATATTTGGTAGAATATCACCTTCATATTTGGCCATTTCTACCTGTTTGACTACCACCTCATCATGAGATACACTCTGATCTCTTCAATCACTATTACAATTGGTTTGGCCATGGCTATGACAAAAACAGAGTTGAATGCCTCTGACATGTTTCCATAGTGTATCACATAAAGTATTAGTCTTGAACCTAGACTTGCTTCAAAACCTTGGTGAAATTTTTATCAAATGCTTGAGAGTCTCCTCATTAACAGCTTTCATTTCAAGCATGACCTTTTTCCATGCACTCACATTGCTGGTTGTAGCAGCTTTCCACATGAGTTCTTTGAGCTTAATCCCTGGATATTTATTCCTAAAGTTGTTATACAGATGCCTTGAATCACAAGAAATTCATAGCTAAAGGGCAATATTAAAACATATAGAAAGATAAGGGGCTAAAGTGATAAAACATACCTGACACAAAATCGTTGGTCTACTCCATGTAGCAATTAATCAAGAGATGGTAACAGTCCTTGCAATAAATAGTGTTGGTTAGTTCATAAGATACAGCCCCTGCAATTTGTCAAGAGCTGAATAGAGTGATAAAATTATCTTTTGTTGATCACTGATGAATGTGTATGTTTTGCATATTCTTGTCCCTCCAATGTCAGATATCAACAATTCTAGGAACCATTTCATGAATACTTGGTTTCACCTTCCACAACAGCAAATGTAATATGCAACCTTTGATCATTTGGATCTCTTCCAATTGCAGCAAGTATTTGTCAACCATAATACCCTTTTAAGAAGCAGCCATCCAATCCTATTATAGGCCTGCACTTGAAAAAACTGTCCCTGCAGGCCTTGAAACAAATATACATCCTTTGAAAATATGGACTCAGTTGTCTCTCAGGATGCTCAATGATATCCGCTTCACCTTGAAAAGGTTGACTAGTAACTTTCACAATGGAACCAGGATTTGACCGCAACAATTCATGTGCATAATCATGAATTCTTTTATACTGCTCCCTAAAATATCCATCAATAATACCAATAGCCATTATTTTTGCTCTGAATGCAAGAGTTTTGTTAATTCCTACATTCCATTTCTGTTGGGTCTTCTCCATGATATTAGTCTGTTTTAAACTATAATTCTTCCTCACATTGTTTTATATCTTGCTACTGAGCCACTTGGATGTGAGGAAATTGACCTTGAAATCTCTAGTACATGTATGGTTATCAATAATCTTTCTGAGTTTCCATGTATCTTCATGTTTGATTCTTGCACAATATGCCTCCCAAGGATATCCTTTCTTACATATAACTCTCATCCTTGTGTTGCCATTTTTCTTGAATTTCAAGTTCCTACCAGAGTGTATGGCATATGTCCTAATACCATCTTTGAAATC